GTGGGGGAGTATGGATATTTTCTGGAATTGCACATTGCATTGCTCTACAGACATGTTCTCAAACTCATTATACTGGTGATAAGTTTAACTGAAACTCGGTTGTTCTTACAGGTTCTGATATAGCAGGAGCATTTGCATTACTCCATGAAGCAGAAGCAAAACTAAAAAGAATAGTTCATGATAAGTTTGAGGCCGCGATACAAAATGGTGATCGGAACTCTGTTGAAAGGTGGGAATACATGTACACGTTCAATAGATTATTTTATTTTAATTTATAATTTATGTTACAGGTCTGATTTCAACTTTTCATGCAGTTTCGTTTTAATTTATTTTTCAAAATCTGTGGATTTGCAGGGTAGTGTAACAAAAAAAAGATACAGGTAAATCCACTGTAATGATGTTTTTACACTCAAGTACAAGTATGAAAAATTATGTCTATTTTTCCAGGTTTTTCAAGATTTTTCCATTACTTGGTCAGCATCAAGTTGGACTTCAGAAGTATGGAGGATACTTGTGCTCCCAGGTGTGTGTGATTGTGATTTGCTTCCAGTAATAACTGAAGATTGCTTTAGAAGCCAGCTATTTTGGTAACAGTCCCAGCTCAAGATAGTTTGTGGAAATGGATGTGTGAAGGGAGGGGTGTAATAATGAGTCAGAATATACCCCACCCTCACTTGTTTCAAATGTCTGAAAACCGAAAATGTTTGTTGTTGATGGTATAGATAGCTGCTCAATGCCAGAAGAATCTGGACAGTGCTGTTGCTATCAAGGAATCAGGTGGGACTAGTTCTTACATTGTATAAAAACTGTGCATTTAAAAGTATTGTGAAGTGAAATTTGAAAGCAAATGAAACTTCAAGTGCACATAATTATATACTGTTACATAATTAATAGCATTATCAAAATTGACCTGTCTGAGCAGACCTTTCTGTTTGAATAATTAACTCATTTAATTTCCAACTAAAGAGATCATTTTTTTTTTTGGCTCAGAAATTTCCCCTACTGATGAAGTAGCCTGACAGATCAGAGATCCCTACTGTACTGTATGGATGAATGATGGCTAATCAAAATATCTTTCTCTGTAGAACAAAATTTGTGGGTCAAAAAATTTTCCTCACGCATAAAAGAGAGACTTTTGTCTACTTACTAAGGGGATGTCTCTGTTACTAGGTTACGAGGATGTTTCTGTTTTTGAATGTAGATCGTCAAGCTAATGTTGTGTTTGCCAACACGCTCACCTTGCTGTTTGAGAACATTGCACGCATGGTGGAGGAACATCAGCCATTTGTAGAGACTTACTATGGTAAGATGGTTTTCAGAGACTAAATAATGATCGAAATGTGGTATTTACACAAGTTTTGCTATAACTTGAAAGAATGATTAAGCATCCGTATGTACATTATGTACAGTCAACAATCATTTCACTTCTTATCTGATTGCATGCTGTGTTCTCTAATAATTACTGTATCCACCTGCAGGTCCTGGTAAAATGTTTATTTTGCTGCAAGCTATGCAGGTATGTGATTATTAGTAATGTTCACTTTAATATATTTTCTTTTTAACTTGCATTGTTGTCTTTGCCTGATGAAACTGGCATTCCAAATTACCCTTTAGTTTGATATGAGCTAAATATTTTTTAACAATCAGAATACTTTCCATTGTAAAACTTCAAAACAAAATCAGACCTGGTGGTAAGTGATATGCTAAACTAGATGGCAAAGCTCTCAGGACTAATATTTTGTCTTACCCTGTAATAATAGATCATGTAAAATTTTTGAATTTTCAGGCTGAATGTGACAGACAAGCTATTCAAGTGGTGGACCAGTTTCTCAAAAAGAGACAGTTCAAAGAAAAGGTGCTCACATTAAATCAAAGTAATGTCTTGGTTATTTAACCTTTTAGTTTATTTTTCATTATTAACCTTTACAGCATAAAATCTCCTACAAACACCAATAATAAAATAATATTACAAATAATTATAGAGTAAGTCTTGCCATTGATTGGTAGCAATCTCAAAGTTTAGAGATAGCTGTACAAAGATGTGCAGGTTTGAACAGAAACTTACTAATATAATTAAAATTATTTTGCAGGTAATATTGCATCATTGCATCATGTTTTATTTTTGTGGCAAATACTACTGTTCAATAATACATGTATAAATTATTAAGTAAATTAATTAGTTATTTTTTATATTGCAGTTTAAGTCAGTGCAGGGTAGTCAAACATTCAAAGGTTCTTCTGCTAATCTTGAAAGGTAATTTTACAAAATAATTATCAATTAATATAAATAGTTAGTTACTGGCTAGTATATGGCTTTCAAATATCAATATTTCTGGTTTTCTTATGAGCTTTGTTAAAGGAGCTCATGTACACATACATTTCAAGTCATACATTTCAAGCACATCTATTTTCAATACATCTATCTGCAGCCTGGCTTTCAGAGGAGAATTCTTCATGTGTCTTCAAAGATTTCAGAACTAACATCCGTGACCTGTATAGCAATCTTTAGAGCTATTGATACTTACGTCATAGTTCTGCAATGTGAAAAATGCCATCTGCACTCATAGGGTGCCTATGACCTTAGCTGAAAAACTATTTTCAAATCATCAGAATTAATCAATTTAATGGAGGAATGAAAGTGTGTGAACTTTGTTTTGTTTGTTTGTTTGATTTTTTTGTTCAGATATGACCCAAGAGAACTTGATGTTGTTTTGAGGGAAGTTGTTGTTATGAATGCAAGGGCAGAGATGTATTTGAGATTTCTGGAAAAAAGGATCACTGTAAGTCATTTAAAATCTTTTGATGTTATTATCCTTCACATGTCAGGTACAGATAGATGGTATAATTTGTAACATTTTCCCCTTGTATAATAATATTTAACAGCATGGCTAATTATCGAGTCACTTCCCAAAATGAAGTGAAAATTTAGGTAGTTACAGCCTAATCTGAAGAAGATTGCAGTATTATATTCACTGATATTTGTTAAATCCATTGAACTGTGATATGCGTGCACTGCTCTTGAATAAAGTAACCTCTCATATGTACATTCTATGTTTAGGATGATGTGGAAAATGTACCAGAAGAGGAAAAGACTGAAGGTACTTGTAAGTTTTCTTACATACAAATTAGTTTTGCAGTTAGCGGGTACTCAGCAATTTATTATCAATAATCATTGATTACTTGTCAGTGGTGTTAACCATCTGTTGGAGACCTCTCACTTCCTGTTCTTTGGAGGACTTGCATATAATCTGAAAGACAGAGCAGATCTATGCAGTTATTCAGCAACAAGGTGTTATGTTAGTTGCGGTGAGAGTGCAAGTTCTTGAGAAATTTAAAAACCCAAAATAAATTCCTAAAGGGGTGGTGGGACACAGTCCCTGATGTCTCACCCCTCACCCCTACAAAAGTCAAGATGCATCTTGATTTCTTTAACAGGAAATAATTATATCATTTCGAACACGGTTATGTTTTGCTCATTTCTCCATCTTTAATACAACTGTAAGTTACTAATCAGAGCATACCAATTTTTTTTTCCTCACTACAATTTAAAGTTTTAGTAGGTCCTTGGGGTAGGCAACTCTGTTAGATCCATTTTGGTGGAGAAAGTTAAACTGAGAACAAGTTCAAAAACTTGATTGGTGGACTATTTCTAGAATATTGAACTAAATTATGTAAACATGTAAAACTAGAAGGAATAGATACCAGAATTAATGATCAGAAATAGAAGGAGTCTGATAGCCCATAATTTTGCTTTGAAGTTGGCCACAAGGTTCCCACTGACCACAGAACTAGTAAAAGACATGTAACATATAAACATTTCTTGTCAGAATTGTTAGGAATTCAAGACAAAGTGGTTTCCAACTGTGAGCTCAACAGAAAAATGCAGGTAAACAGTGTCATTATTTTCTCGTAAAGGAAATGCTTCTGGCAGTTAACTTAAGTGCAATTATTTCAAATTGATATCTTTTTAATTTATCAGGAGCTGATTGGAAATTACATTTACATGGAAGAGTATTTTATGAGGGAAACTGTCATGAAGGTAAATTAAAGTGTTTTTTTTTTCAATTATTTGCAAAACTTCTCATTAATTAGTTCCATTATTTACAATAATGAACTGTACTCTACTTCCCACAATTTGCTACTTTCACTACAACACTGTACTTTAAGAAACAATACCCATTGATTCTTACTCTAGTTGCAATACGACACAATACTTACTAAGGTACATGTAACACAAGGGAGCCATTGATGGTAAAAGTTACAAGAAATTCTGGTGTTTATTGGGAGCCTCTGCATGTGGTCATTCCATTGGTCTACTTGTTTTTGTTTAAAATGAATAACAATGGCCTCCATAGTTAAAAATTAAAGACTCGCATTCTCAATAGCTACAATGCAGGTCAGAAGGAGTTGTCTCAAGAAGGTTAAAATAATTATTGCATACTAATACCAATATACTGTAACAATGCAATTCAATCCATGCAATTACAGTAGAACATCATCTTAACTGACCCCCTGCCCAAAGCTATGTCGATATAATTGCATACTCAGTTTGCTTCTGTTATGGCTGTGTGAAGGCCAAACTTGAACATTTCCTCAAGGAGGGGTGGGGGGAAGGAGTCACTAGCATCAATGTAAGTTTCCACATACTTATGCCCCAACATTGTAGCTCTGTTTTGTGTGTGTTTTTTTCTGTCAGGCTGTAAAGATGGATGTTACAGAGGGTGGTGATGATGAAGCTGTCACATCCAGCATGGTGGATGATGTTTTCTTTATTGTGCAAAAGGCTGTCAGGTAAGCAGCTTGCATGTATACGTACATGAAACGAGATGTGATGATTCCACTTGCACTTTGACGACTGCCGAGACTGGCAAAACATAACTTGTACAATCATGGAGATGCACAATGACAAAGGAGCCGGATAACATTGGGAAGACATGGGATGAGGCTGAGAAGACCGCAAAGAACAGGGTCCAGTGGAAGGCTATGGTGGTAGACCAGGGGGAAAGAGATCTAAGTCAAAACGTAACTTGTGTTTGTGGAAGTTTCAGTTTAAACAGTTGCTTGGTGATTGGTAAATGGTGAATGCTGAACTTGATATCTGATATTTGATGTACAGTTTGTGTTATCTTTCTTTCTTCTTTCAGGCGTGCTCTGTCAAGTTCTAGTGTAGATGGAACATGTGCAATGTTAAATCATGCTTGGTAATTATGAATGCCTGCTAATAAATTATGTTTGTTATAAAATTGGAGTTGTTATAGTGACCTAAAATAGTTAGTTAATGCTACCACACAATAATTATCAAGGATACATCAAAAGAGACTTTCAATAGCGTGGAAAAAGGTTACAGTACACATACACTGTACTTTGTCTTTTCAGATTTGAATGCCTCTTTGATGACCAAAATCTGTTTTAGAAGAGTGTATATTCTTAACTTAATGGCCAAATTATTCCTTCTATGAGGCGTGCCTGCAGGGAATCATGGTAGTTGTATTCATCAAAACAAAAATCCAGTCCAAGATGACGAATACAATTACCATGATTCCCTGCAGGCATGTCTCGTGGAGGGAATTAGCCATTTCTGTTGGTAATTTGATCCTTGAACTGATCTGTTACTTTGCTGTATATTCGTTGTTACAGTGCTCTTCTGTCATCTGATTACCGCGATGTACTAACATCCAGGTTAAAAGCTGGTTTCCCATCTGGCAGGTAATTATCTGAATATCATATTTTTTGTTTTATTTTGCAATTGCCGTTGTCCTGTTAAAACACAAAATATCAAACGATTTACCCAGTACTGTACATTAATACCATGCCTTCTGTGGTGGTAACGTACAGCTTGTTCTGGCCTAATAGCATCGGTAAGTTATTCGTTAACTTGGTAGTGAGCCAGTGCTACAGTCATGCATTTCCCTAGAATCTCTAAGTTCGTTCTTCCCATATAAACACCAGGATAATCTTTGTGGCCTGTATTGTTTGTAATGCCAATAACATGCCTCACTTTAAGAGGCAGTTTTCAATGTATCCGTGTTTTAAAACTCCTATTAAAGTCTTTCTCTCGTACTTAATACAATATCTTTTTATTCTTTCCTGCCACCAGTCTCGATTTGTCTGGAATGTTACAAGGGAAGATACAAGTGGGTTACTCCTCAACTGCTGAGAACGCAGCTGCTAGGAAGGCTTTCCTTGTGAGTGTGACACGGTTGTTAGCATTATTTGGATTGTCACGTAACACTTCTTTGTCACTCTAAGAAGTGTTACAACTTTTCTTCCTCGCTGTGACAGTCGTCACAGAATGCTACCTGTTTCACGCCAAATCGAGTTCGCACCTACGAAGTTCGCATCCCTGAAATCATTTTAAACTTTCCATGTCGAGTTCGTCTTCACCTTCAATGGATTAAAGAACGAGAAATGAACATGTCTTGCACATGTGATTTTGCAAGTTTTAAGCACTTGATCGCTAGTTGAGTCGATGTGGAGGTGAACTCGGTGGGCGTGAAACCTCAAGCTACGTCATCACCGAGTGCTTCTTCACATTTCTGAGAACCCTTACGCTCTTCTTCTTTCCTATTGCCAGAGCCATTGCATCGTAAATCAAATATCAGCCTACTCTTGAAGTTCTAAAGAGGTCAACATCTAATCTCTCCTCGCATTATCAATTCATCGTTAAGCTGTCAGGTTATGAGAATAAAGAAAGTCATCAACTAGGAGATATGGTCTTGATGTAACACTAAATTCTCAAAAGTAGCAGTGAAAGAAAATGTAAAGCAATGTTTAAAGAACTCAAGGGATTTGTCGCCATCGACTGGAGCTCTTAAATCAAGTTTGTGTTCTATNTTTTAAGCACTTGATCGCTAGTTGAGTCGATGTGGAGGTGAACTCGGTGGGCGTGAAACCTCAAGCTACCTCATCACGCAGTGCTTCTTCACATTTTTGAGAACCGTTACGCTCTTCTTCTTTCCTATTGCCAGAGCCATTGCATCGTAAATCAAATATCAGCCTACCCTTAGAGTTCTAAAGAGGTCAACATCTAATCTCTCCTCACATTATCAATTCATTGTTAAGCAGATAGGTTATGAGAATAAGGAAAATCATCAACTAGGAGATATGGTCTTGATGTAGCACTAAATTCTCAAAAGTGGCAGTGCAAGAAAATGTAAAGCAATGTTTAAAGAACTCAAGGGATTTGTCGCCATCGACTGGAGCTCTTAAATCAAG